TCCCCTATAACTTACTGCCTGGTTCACCTTCCCCCACCCCCACCCCTCTTACAAACTGCTGCAATCTACTAATACCTCAAAGTAAAGAAGGATTCTCGGTATTATCACTAATGTCCATATTTGCATCCGGTTCAATTTTTGAGCCTTCGCCACAAAAAACTATACAAAACAGGGAGAGAGGGGTGGGTGGGGCGCATTTACTGCATGCATTTAATTCTCATTTAGAAGCCATAGAACTTCGCGAGGTATTGTGAAGCCACTAAGTAACACCAGTCATAATTTGTAGAAACTACTAGTCAATGCTCGTGAAGAACACCTGTCACTTCTTGCAAAACAATAAACACGACAGCGGGAAGCAGCGAAAGTACAAAGTCCCCTCTCCGCCGTACTGCGTTAAAAATATTCACGAGTTTTTTTTTTGAAAAGAACAGAGAAGACAGGAAAGTTGTGAAAACTCACAGTTCCACTACTCCAGTGATGCATCCAGTTCAGTTTCCTGCCATTGTGGTGTTTCTTATAAAATGCTTCTACCTGAAAAATCGTATCTCCTGGAAAGAGCTAATCTGCGGAAAAACACTCTGACATAAAAGAAGGGAGTTCGATCATCTCACGAGCGCGAACAGAGCAAAACTGTTAAAGGGAAAATAAAAGAGCCCACCTCAGGAACAAATTCTTCCAGTTCTCTTGGCAATGACACACGTACCCGTTCCGCACCAACACCACCACGTCCCCATGCACCGCCGTTTAGAATTTTTATATTTATAAGGTCTGAAGAAATAAAATGAATTCAAGTTTTCAATAGCCAAGAGCGGAAACCATGCCCTAGCAATGAAGAGCAATGAATTGGATCTACCTGACAAGGCCTTATTATTGTTCGTTCCAACTAGTGATTTCTTGAAATTCGAATTGAGATGTAAAGTTTTCGTATAATTGAGATCCTTATTCACTTCAATATCTTGCAGCATACGGAAAAGTTTGTTCACATGTTCAGCTGGCATGCCGCATTCCTTAAGCAAAATAGTCAAAGGGGGTTTTTTTTTTTTAGAAGCGCGAGTCATCAAGATAATCTCAATTTTTCATGCAAACATCAAATGAAATCAGTCCGTCTGAGCAGTCTGCAAGTAGAACGCATGGCTCATCCCAGAAGGATTCAGCCGTCAGGTACCCAACCCAGGGAGCAGATCACCAGATGCTTCCATTCTGTTTGAATGAACTCTTCACCGTTCTTCTTTACGTTAAGCAGTGACAGCGTGGGTGTTTGATGAGAGGGGAAGCGGAGGTTAGGGGCTACGGCCTTCAGGTAAACATCAAGATCCATGCTTGCATAAGCGTTACGGCAACGCGCACAAATTATGCAGCGTCTAAACTTCGCGAAAAGGCGCGTCCGACCGAATATAACGCCGCTTGCAGACAGGAGAGAGCGCGTCGACCGGCGTCCATGCTGGTCCCGGCTGCAGTAATTTTTCACCGCTTAAGTTCACTTGAAATCTTGTAACTTTCCTCTTGAAATCGATATAACTGCCAAGGAGATGTTCTGAACGCACAAGACGCCTCTAGCGAAGCAGCGTCGCGTGAAAAACATATGCGGTGTCCTTAATTCATCAAGTCTGACATCAAGACTTAAGGACAGTCGGCACGATAAATCCTAAGAACAAGTAGGCCATCAACACGCCTGGCAGGACGCGAATGTTCGCGACCGTTGAGCCCAGGCGCTGCATAATGCCTTTTCCAAGGGAGGTGCCCTTATAAGGGCCCTATCAAGCCACAACATTACGACCCAAACCGCCCGCCACGCCCGCCCGCCCACAAATGGACGACCGTTCCTGACGCTCGTGACTCATTGTGTTTTGCCGCCCAACTATAACACGCTCTCTACTGGCATTTTCATTGCCCCGAGCTACAAAATTCATCGTGTCAACTGCCTTTAAGAAAGTGATCTAGCGATAAAGAACGAAAAAAATAAATAAACAGCCAAAGATAGAAACACTAACTCGGAGCTTGTTGACCATGGCTTCCTCCTTTTCTTGATCAGCACTCATGTCGAGAATCAGCCGCCTTGACAGGTGGGCCTTGTGAAACCGCATGAAAACGTCCTTATTCGCAATATACTTCAGTACAAGGAGCTGAAAGTCCATATTTGCTCGTGCTTCTTGTGAAAACTGGCAGAAGCCTCAGGAAGACTTTGAAGGTAATAAACAGCAACAGACCAACTCATACCAGGTTATTGAGCTTCGAATCGATCTCTTCTGACGTGAGTTTTTTGCTCAGTTGTGTTTTTCTCAGTAGAAGATCACAGTAGTTAGCAAGTAATTCAGGGCATTTCGATTCTACTGCGGTATTTCGACTGCAAAACAAGGATATCAAAATCCAACAATACAAAAAAATGGGGCTTACGCAGTTGGGGGGGGGGGGGGAGAAGGAGGCTGACCGCGTTTCTGTATTCCCCGTGCAAGCTTAGGCTTACAGCGCAGACGGCCATTGTCGCCTAGAGATAGTTCGCAGAAAAAACATAGCCTTCACTGAGCCCAAACCTTGATTAGACGAAGGGATACGGAGGCGCTGGCGAGTGGTCCTTCCAACTACATAAACGCACAAAAAAATATAAAATAGACAAGTAATTAAACATACCTCTTCTTGCCTAATGGCAATTCCATTTTGAATATGGTCGTATCGTTCACAAGAGCACGGAATGCCTTGAACAAGAAAAAATTAACTGTAAATTAGAGAAAACAAAAAAGAATGATTTTATAGTGACAATAGTCAATTTACACAATCCAGAGAAAAAACAATAAATATTTACATAGAGGAGTGAATATTTCGTTCACAGAAACTTGGTTACTTGAACAGTTCTCCACGTGCAAACTAAACCTTCCGCATTCTAAGCTACTGCTTTTTGCCGATCCTTCAGAGTGAGCGGTAGAAGAGGCAGGGATAAAGGATATCACAAGTGATAACTGCAGAAGAGCGCGAAGACGAACCAAGAAATGGGAACTGAAGCAGTGGCTGACTATCTCCTCTGTTGATGTCCATGCACGCATAAAATGAGCTTAAACTACTGCGGTCATATTTTGTCGGGAGGCGCAACTAGCGTGAAGAGGTCAGGTTGCATCGCGTTGGCGTCCTCTGCGCGAATGTGGCGGCGTCACTTCCATTCAGGTGCGCAGCATCGCAGAGTATTACTAGTCAGTTAACTTGAGACCGACACGACGGAGAGCAAGGCGACATGAAGAGATGCAGACGCCAAGGAAGCGCGAGCGAGTCAATCGCAGCAGTGCACAGCTGAGGTGCGAATTGGGTCCGGGAGCGAACGTGGCGTACGATAGCCCGCTTGATGAGTCTATTTTACCGCGCCGCTCGTAGCCCAAGAACTGATCCAGTAATAGTTTGAAATTCAACCCGAGTATGAAGCAGCAAGAAAGGTCCAGACTTCTTGTGCCTTTATGAGGATATCAAAGATGGCAAAAATAGTTTCACTTACTAGTTCAAGAAAATGGGGAAAACTAACGATTCCACCAAATGTTATACAAAACCGACCTTATCTCTTGCCGTCAGTAACCGAGCATCATCATAGAAACCTTCCTTGACAAGGGTACTGAATCGATCAAACATACTTAGAAGTTGTGATATGTACTTTTCAGGATCCTGGAATCATTATACTCAAACTATTGCTAGGTTGTCATTGTTAGCCACTTTACCGTCGTTATCGTTAGCGCGTTCTCTTTCATATCGTCTATTCCTTCGCCTCGGATATGATTATCAACCGCTTTAATCACAACTTCTATACCAGTTGGGGTCCATTTTATCAATCGGTACAGCATTCGTAATTCTGCAAATAAACTACGCGATGAAAAACTAACAAATTAGGCAGAAATAACAGGCTAACTCACTTTCTACATCATTCTTGGCGATTAACGATGGACATTCGGCCAGTATTTGGTCTTCGAACTCAACAACTAGTACTTGTACACAGCTCTCAACCAGCTGAAATGGCATTAGGTTAAGCTCACTTTTGATAGAAAGTGTGGCGTTGTTCGGCCTGGGGTGTAGGGGGACATTTACTACTTCCTGTTGAACTATTCGTCTCGTCTTGGTGGCACTTGCTGACTCTTATGAAGCTCAAGCGAAGCTTAGCTTGACAAGGGTTAACGGCCACCACAGGAAGCATCGGCAATGTTCGATGAGAATCAGCAAAATGCCCCCACCAAGCCTAACTGCGCCAAAAACAGTTGTTATACAAGCCGAATTCAATCAATAGAAAGCAGAATAACCCTATAACAGGTACGGGAAACAGTAGTACCACCAAAAAGGTTCGAACTTACCCTTGCAACACTTTCAGGATTTGGATTGAGGTATTTCCTTGCTCGTTGCTCCTCTTCCTCAAGCATTCGATCAGCATATGCCATATAGTTGATCACTCCGTTTTCGGCCAGATACTGGAAAAGACAATACTTTACATCAAATTGTAAACTTTATGTACTTCACATTGAATTATAGATCATTAAAACACTTGTTGGGTGTGTTAACTTTTGTTGTGATTTTATTGTTGTAGTTTTTTTGGGCGTTTTTTTTAATTTTTAAATTACATCCAATCGATAATACAAAAATAGAAGAAACCGAAAAAGTTCACCTGCGCAGCTCTTTTCTTGTAATATGCGACGGTTTCCTCGACAAATTCCCGTTCAAAGTGCTTTCGATACTGCTCAAGAACGTCTTCGTAGTAGCAGTCCCGCTGGTCATACAGGGCCACTGAAAGTTGTACAGGAAGTGAAGAACTATGGGCTTTTCTAAAGCCTTACCCCTTGACCTCCCTTCCCTAAGATTTGTGACGCAGTTCCACTTGGGGGAGGCAGTCTGCACTGTCGCTTGCGTCTTTTTGGTTCGTTTCATTTTTAGTCACGAGTTACTCTTTTGCGAGGACTGCGAATTCATGTGAAGTTGCGGAATGGTGTAAATGAGACGGTTTGGTTACATGAGTTTACAGGTATACACAAGATGACTCATACAAATTTAACAGAGTACCATTTGGTGCTCCCACCAAGCCGAACTGCGTCAGATTTTTCAACATAGTGATCAACCAACGACAATATATAAATTAGTAACTGCATGAGCCAACTAAAATGGGATTCAGAAGTAAGCAACACGAGGGCTATCGGAATTATACAGGACAAAAGCGAAATTTCCAAAGAATTTACCATCTTTACCACGTGACGCTGGTGTTCGCTTGGAACGCACTCGAGCGCAATTCGGTTTGGCGAGGCGTGTTTCTTCGCTTTCTCGCTATCTCATAAATCTCTACTGTCTTATTGATGCTTACAAGACGGGTTAACAAGAGGTGCTGTCAGGCGCTGTTTATCGACGGGGGGCATTTTGTATTATAATTGCTTCCCTGGTTCCGGTTTACAAATCTCACTCTGGTAAAACTTGAACGCTTGTGAAGCTGGAGCAAGATCGTCTAGCCACCATCCTAAAACGTGTCAACTCGAAAAAAGGGTACCTAGATGGGTTGGCAAATCTATGAAAAGCAGAACCCCCCGTCGATAAACAGCGCCGGTGACAGGTATTTCTTACAAGAGTTTACATCACATCATGGCTTCACAAGATTTCATAAATCTCTCTTGATGGCTCGACAGACATGGGAAGTAGCAAATGCAAATGCCTCCTCCCCTCCCAAGCCAAACCGCCCCCTTAGTTATTCAAAGGGAAACCACGAAACTGTCTCAGTTAGGAGAAGCCATAAAGAGAAGGAAGAGAAAAACAGAAAAGGCTGGAGGAAAAAAAATCGGTGCTGTTCCAGTAATGCGGACATTTTGTACTGTATGGTGTGAAGGAACGATTAAGAATCAGAGCTACGAGAATTTTCGTATGAGCCTCATGAAAGAGGGAGCTCCGGATTGCGAATGTTATGGTTTTACAATGTGTTCTGTACCAAAGAGAGTTATTACATTGAAATGAAGCAAAAAAAAACACTGCTCTTTCCTTACCCCAACTCTCTCGCACGCCAATTACAAGATGTGCATCAACTGCTTCCCCATTACGCTCAGCTTCAACGAGACGAAGAGCGGCTGAGAGGAGTTTCAGGCTGATATGTTGAAAAACAACTTTCTTCCATGTCTCGAGCATCTCCTAAAAAACTACATCGTCCTGAGATTGATTCTAATTCAAATTCAGCAAAAAAAACTATCCATTGAATTGTGTTGAGGTACA